GCCCAAGCACACGTCCACACAGGTGAGGAGACAACCCAGGCAGGTCTGCGGGAGACTTACGAAGGTTTCGGACAGGTCTGGGAGAAGCTGGAGGTCATACTGTGGAGGGCTGTCACCACACCCTGCCCTGGCTGGAAAAGCTCAGCCAAGTATACAGCAGAAAACTCTGCCATTTTAACTTTGGCAGGGTTTTATCATTAACAACCAGGGAATTCCAACTGTAAGTTTACACAATTTATTAAGACCAGTCTGTTCAGCAATCTCTACCCCTGAGGACATTACGACATTATAGAGTAACTAGCCCACTAATGAGGCCAGTGTTGCTGGGTTGGTTTTGCTGTGGGGGAGGAGGACTGATGAGATTTGCCATATTTGTTTATTTTTCCTGGAAAAATGACAATTTCCTGAAATCTCTAAATGGCTAGTTTTATTACCCATGTGCTTCTAAAACGCTTCCACGAATACAATATTAAAATCAATTTTATTTCCCCACCAATTGTCCTGAATTTTGTAAAATGAATATACATGTTACACATTCTACATATGAATACATACATACACACATAAGTATACACAAAGAAATGCACTGGGCATGGGAACATCATCCTTCGGAAATGTTTTGCTGGGAACAAACCCCAGCAGCACCTATGCACGGTGAACCCACCAGCAAGTACGCCGAGGTACTCTAACCACAAGGGACACAAATACAGGGCGAGACAGTGCCAGGAATCCATGCGTGAGGTCTCCAGGAGACAAGCAACTAGCTACAGCTAGTCTTTAAGAGAAGCTCACAGGGTAGCTCCCTGAATTCATCAAGCTATTTATGACCTTTTTATTAACAGCCTCCAGTTAACTAGCTTAAAAACCAAAGAGAAAATCATAGGTATCCCAGCTGTAAGGTGGATGAATTCCCCCAGAAGGAGTGAGATCAAACGCAGGATGTAGAGCCTCCTGGGCAAGGTTCCATCTAAGACTCAGGGAGAAACCTGATGACACAGGATCCTTTTGTCCCTAGAGGACAGAACTACTGAGTCACAGTGGATCTGCAAGCGCAGAGCATCCGTATTTTAAAAATCGATCATAGTGAAAACTCTCAATCCTGGGGAAGGTGATATAGTAAAAATTACCACCATCATTTACAAACATATATTTATTACAGTTTTGGATTATTTTAGGCAAGGAAAGGACAGAAACACCAACAAAAAAACTGTATCGGCAAGTTAGAGAAAGAGAGGATGGCAGGAGACGCATCCATTAGAAAGAACCTTGTATCAAGAGCAAAAAGCTGAAATTCTAGTTTAGCCCAAACCCATCAGCATTGTGTAAAGCAGGTGAGCAACAGTACTGCTGAATAAATACTGAGGAACTTGTTGCGCTGAAACAAGTGAGCAGACATGTAAATGAAACCGTATTTATTGCTTACTTCAAATAACCTAAACTCATGACTAAAAGGACTCTCAGAAGGTTACTCCACCCCAGTTTCTGTACCCAAGCAAGACAGGAACTGAGTTACACCAAGAAGACAACTGTCCACCCATTCTTAAAGACCGACTGACCAGGCGACCGGAGCAGTGCGGGCACCCGAGCCCAGCCTCTGTGTGAGCCCAAGCACACGTCCACACAGGTGAGGAGACAACCCAGGCAGGTCTGCGGGAGACTTACGAAGGTTTCGGACAGGTCTGGGAGAAGCTGGAGGTCATACTGTGGAGGGCTGTCACCACACCCTGCCCTGGCTGGAAAAGCTCAGCCAAGTATACAGCAGAAAACTCTGCCATTTTAACTTTGGCAGGGTTTTATCATTAACAACCAGGGAATTCCAACTGTAAGTTTACACAATTTATTAAGACCAGTCTGTTCAGCAATCTCTACCCCTGAGGACATTACGACATTATAGAGTAACTAGCCCACTAATGAGGCCAGTGTTGCTGGGTTGGTTTTGCTGTGGGGGAGGAGGACTGAAGGGGCAGGAGGAGGTGACATGCAGCGTCATTACTGGGTGGAATCAAGACGAGGAATGGTTATAAACACAAACAGGTCTCTGAGAGACAAGACTATACTTCTCACCACAGAAATCACAAGACAGTTTTTATGGTCCGAAGAGGACAGAGATGAAAATCAGGCCCTCCTTCCCTAGCAAATAAAGCAAAACAGTAATGCAGGCATCCAGAAACACCCACCTGCCAATGTCATTTGCACTGACCGACTACTCAACAGACCCTCTTCTGTCATTGCCCACTTCTTTAATAAAGGGAAAGATTATCTCAAAGTGATCATCTAGCTCTGGAGACAAAGAATAAGATTATCTACTTTCAGCATCCTATGCTTAGCCCTTTTAGTATAGAGAACAGGCAGCTTCCATTAAGGAACTTTATGGAAAATAGGTACTCAAGTTAAAAACAAAACAAAACCAACTTAGCAGACTTCAAGTCTCACAAAACCATCCCTAAGTACCCTACCGCCCCACCCCAGACTCTTCCTTCTCTGAATAATGCAGGCTGTTAGACTCCTAGCCAGGCAATTTATATGCGATTTTGTACTGTTTGCTAAAATCACACACAATTTTGTGCTGTTTGCTGTTACACATATACAAATGCCTTTTCTCCCCTAACTAAAATATATGAATTATTTGAGAAGGCTTAGTTTTATTCAATTGTCCGTCCTTCCTTAGCATCCAGAGACAGCTAATACACATGGCCTGAGATGCGGCCACCTCTGCAATGGTGGCTCAGGCTTGAGTGCTGCGGGGCTCCCTGTGGGTGGGGGCTACCACCCCACTGCTTCTCCAGCACCCCAGGATGATCACCCAGCCTGCTGCCAGTTCACAGCAGCTCATCCTGTATTTTGACCTGCCACATGAGCCCTAAGTCCTGGGCGGGCTCCTCTGCCTGGCACCCTGCTGCTCCCCAGAGGCAGGAGCTCACGCAGACCACAGCACTCGGCTGGTGCTCTCATTTAATCACACTACTGCAAATAGTTGACCAAAAGCAATAAGGGCATGACTGAGAGACAGTGGGAGTTTAATATAAAAAAATTAATAAAAAAAAAAAGGGGGGAAGTAGAAAGGGTCTACCTTTTAATAGGGTCCTAATTACCCAACTCATAGGATCAGCCCAAATGAGATGGGAGTTTATTTCGGGTTTTTTTTTTTAATTATTGGTTTTTTTATATATATATAAATTGCTGCTATGTGTTTTCTTTCCTCTGAGCAATTATGCAGCAAGTACGTAAAGAGGGGAAAAAAATATTAATTAAATATAAGGTAATTGTAGAGTTGGCCTGCAGAGAATGAGTCTGAACTCTGGACAATCACAGGCTACTAGGGTTTGAAGACTGCTCAGGGCCTCCCAGAAAAGACAGAAATAAAAATACAACCAACCAACAAGCAGATGCAGAGTACAGCAGGAAAAGAGCAGTGTACAGAGACATTAACAGAGCCACGGAGCTGTAGGGCTCCAAGTACCTAGAAACCAGCAGGGCTGACAACTGCTTAGGGCTCTCTGCTAGAAAGAACCCCCCAGTTTATCCAGTCATGCCCCAAATGATCGCCTGGCCACTCTTCNCAGCAGGAAAAGAGCAGTGTACAGAGACATTAACAGAGCCACGGAGCTGTAGGGCTCCAAGTACCTAGAAACCAGCAGGGCTGACAACTGCTTAGGGCTCTCTGCTAGAAAGAACCCCCCAGTTTATCCAGTCATGCCCCAAATGATCGCCTGGCCACTCTTCCTGTGATCAACAGTTAACTCCGTAAGTAAAAACTTAAAAAGAGACTGAGGACATACAGGATTGAAAAGGACGATCAAGTTCAACTGGGACTTCAGTCCAAAACTAACCACACCTTGGGCCTGAGGGGCACTGAGGCAGGCCCCAGAACACACTCAAGCTCCCTCTCAAAGGGACTGGCAAAGTGAAGCCTCCTCTGGCTTTCACACCACTGTGACCTCAGGGAAGCACCCAGGCAATACCAGAAAGTGAAATGAAGCCGTGGCGGAGCATGCGGGGAAGTGCCAAGCCGTACGTGATAATAGCGGGGTATATGAGTGACAGCTGTGCTCCCCTGAAACAGTTCTGGCAGGGCTTGTATCACCCTGGTCCTTCCATAGCTCAGCCATTTCCAGCTCACCGTCTGCCCTGGGAAGCCTTGGTAGCGGCTTGAATTCAGACTTGTTCATACCAGCTAAAGACCTCATATCACCTCCTCCCACTAATGCCAGACGAGAGGGAGAAAAACAGGTGAAACTACAGATTCTGCCAAAAGAAAACTTGGCCGCACCTCCCAAAGCCTGCTATCACTCTTCAAAGAAGTTAAACCTAAAGCTGGCCCCTCCATAAAGCTCTGGTTTGTACAGACTGGGTCTTACTACCCAGCCAATAGGATTCGTGGGAGGCCCTGATATGAAAATAAAATGAAAATGGAGCAGGCTGGCAGGGATTCTGGCTTAGATGCCAAAGCCAAAACCCTCTGTAGAGAGAATCACCTTCAGTACTTAGTAGGCCTCTTCCCTATCAACAGTACAAGCGGATGATGTTAGTAATGTGTGCCACAAACCTGGCTACTGAACAAGCCTAAACAGTGGTTGCCTTACCTGCTCTTCAAAGGCCACCAGGGGCGCTCTCACCCTGAGGGGCAGAAGGGCCATTTCAGACAATCAAGCAGCAACTTGGCCAGGGCCAGCATTCACTCCAACTCAGCCTCCAAAGGTTTCATGTTTCCCACTAATTACTATTACTATTTGATCAGCAACAAAAAATGGCATACCACCACCTGGGGTGGATATTTTAGTTCCAGAAAAGGCCAGGCCGTACTAAGGAGCGAGCTCACTAATCCCCACATGCCAGAAAAGAAGTCAGAAGTCAGGGGTCACTGATAGGGTCAGTCTCCGCACAGAACCTATTTTAAAGGTACACTTCTGATGCAAACCTACAGGATTGTTAAGGTTTCTTTAAACTCATAAAGTACTTTAACTATTAAGAAAATGATACTATAAATTTTGGGTACTTACCAGCGACTCTCGAGGCACCACATTTTCACTTCCGGGAGTAGAGCTTGGCTGCAAAGAAAAACAGAAACAAAAAATAAGATCACAGTGCCACCCAATGGACATCAAAAAAACCAAAGATGTTCTATTCTCAGGCAACACACTAAAACACCTCTCTGAAATCTCTTACCGGTTTGTCACACTCTACGGTGTTCTGTGGCAGGCTACCTGTAAGAAGTCACCCAAACATTCTGAATTTGCCAGTGAACATGAAGAAACTGTTTCTGGGGTTCACTGTCAGTACCTCAAGAAGGTTTGGTTTGGCTTAGGAGGGCCCCAGATAAGCAGCTGAGCAGCAAAGGCTGAGGACCATCACAAAATCCAAAGAAACAGCAAAGCCCAAAGTAAAGGCTTTAATAAGAGCAAAACTTCCCTTTTGTCATCTCCCCACCATGTTGACGGGGGCAGAGCTCAGCAAAACTGGAGAAAGAAATCAACCACAAGGGGGCCCCACCTGCCCGCACTCAGGGTTTCCTCGGGCCAGCTAGTTACAGCCAGAAGGGAGTAAACTACACCGCTGGTGCTTTATCACCTGTCACTGAAGACACCAATTTGCAGCAGTTAAGAACGCCAGGCTTAAATCCTTTTTGTAAATAAACCAGTGACAGGCTGGCAGACAGACAGACCAACGAGGCAGGCAGGCAGCATGTGGCCGCTTGCCTGGCTCAGGCTGGCTTCCTCCTCTGAATCTCTCCCTCACCCTCACATTTGCCTTCAACCCTTGGCTGATCTGGCCAAAAATTAGAGAAAGAAAGAGTGACAGAGACAGACTCAGAGGAAATTTACAAATCTCCAAAAGAATAAAACAATATGACAGAGTTATGATTACTTCACTGCTACTGATGTTCAAGCCGATTTCCAATTACCTACAGATAATATCCAGACAAATGCAGCCGCTCTGTGGGTGTCAGAAGCCAGCCTCCATCCTCCTTCTGGCCCGTTCAGAAGGCAGTGCCAGGCCTCTTAAGAAAAAGGATAGAAGGTGCGAGAAGAAAGCGTCCAGTCTAGAAAGGCCCCGAAAGACTTCCACACACTAGATGCCACCAGCACAGCTGGCAAACAGCACAGTGGCAAGGACTCTGCTGGAAGGACCCCTCACTCAAAGTCCTGTCTCAGGAGCCCCTTCCCACCCACCGCAGGACAAGACAGACAGCCAGAAACTAACTAGAAAGCGTGAAAACGAACTAGAAAGTCTCGGGAATCAGAAAGTTTTCCATCCCCTGCCCCTTCTTCCCCACTCCTAAGGCCCCAGGCATCAAGAAGCTCATGCACTGAGACCTCCAGCCCAAACTCCTCTGAGTCCTACATCAACTGCCTTCCTGCCACCTCTTGGACTAAACGAATCCCACAGCAGATTCATAGCCCTCTCCCTCTGCCACACACGTCCTCTTCCAGCGTTCCTGTTTGAGTGAATGACACAACCCCCACCAAAGTACCTAAACTAGAGTCCAAAGCGTCATCCTTGACAGCTCTTTCTCCCTCACTCGCTAGAGCTAACTCACTACCAAGCCCTGCCAGTGTCCTCCCTAAAGGTCCATGGAATCAGTCCATGCACTTCAATCCACTTCTACTGCCATCATTTAGGTCCAAGCTTCCAAAATCTGCCTGAACCACTGCAACTGCCTTCCAATCAGTTCACCCACATCCATGCTGGCTCTCTTCTACTTCATTTTAAACACTGCTAGCAAACTATCATCTCAAAATAATTTGATCTCGTCACCTCTCCACCCCAGTAAACAACTACAACTATAATACAGCAAAAATTTCTCAGTGTGGCCAAAAGGCCTTGCTTCTATTCTGACATCTCAAGTCTGTATGGCACCACATTCTCCAGCTTTGCCCACAACAGACACACTGGCCTTTGCTCCTGCTGTTCCCTCCCTTGCCTCTGACAATTTAACTCACTCTTCAGATTTCAGACTTCCTGGGAGACACACTCCTCTGAACCATGACAGGGTCAAATCTCCCTGTTAGACACTAACACCACATACCTCTCCTTCAAAGACTGAGCAGAACTGTAATTTTACATGTGTGATTATCTGACTAATGTCTGTATTTATCACCAGATTATAAACTCTACTTTGGGCAGAAACTATCAGGGTTTGCTTATCACTGTATCCCTGGGACGTAGGACTGAATCAGGCACAGACAAGGCCTTCCATAGACATTTGCTGAATGACTGAATGGGCAACTAAGAGTAGAACAATGGTTCTGACTCAACTGAATGGATTATACATTAAAATTTGTAATCTTCCTGAGGGCCTCCTTCACTCCATTTGGCAAATACTGACACTAAGTACTAACATTTATTTATTAGCTCTTTTTTCATTCAATTCTCACAATATATGTATGAAATTATTGCTGATGAGGAAATTGAGGCAAGGGAGGTTAAATAACTTGCCCATGATGACTCAGCTGGTAGCTGGTACTAAAGGGATCTGAGCCCTTCTGCGTAATCAAAATAATCGAGTTGTGTCCTAAAATTTATATGGAACCAAAGAAAAACCCTGACTAGCCAAAGCAATCTTAACAAAGAAGAACAAAGCTGGTGGTATCATGTTCCCTGGTTTCAACTACACTACAAAGCTACAGTGACCCCAACAGTATGGTACTGGCATGAAAGCAGGGACACAGATCAGTGGAATAAAGGACCCAAGAAAAAGACCCACACATTTTAGTAGTTAATCTATGACAAAAGAGGCAAGAATATACAATGAGGAAAAGATAGTCTCTTCAATAAGCAGTACTGAGAAAACTGGGCAGCTACATGCAAAAGAATTAAACTGGACGACTACCTTACACCATATACAAACATAAATTCAAAATGATTAGAGACTTGAATGCAGGAAGTGAAACCATAAAACTCCTAGAAAAAATCACAGGCAGTAAGCTCTTTGACATTGGTCTTAGCAATGTTTTCATGGACCAGTCTCCTCAGGCAAGAGAAATAAAAGCTAAAATAAACAAATGGCATTACATCAAACTAAAAAGCTTTTGCACAACACAAACTAAAAAAACACTAACAAAAAGAAAAGGCAACCCACTAAGTAGATATTTGCAAATCATATACTGATAAGGGGCTAATATCCAAAATACATAAAGAACATATACAACTCAACAGCAAAAAAAACAAATAATGCAATTAAAAAATGGGCAGAGGAACTGAACATTTTTCCAAAGACAAAGAGATAGCCAACAGGCATATGAAAGGATGTTCAACATCACTAATGATCAGGGAAATGTAAATCAAAACTACAATGAGATGTCACCTCACACCAGTCAGAATGGCTACTACCAAAAAGGCAAAAAGTAACTATTAGCAAGGATGTGGAGAAAAGGGAACCTTCATGCACTAATAGTGGGAATGTAAACTGATGCAGCCTCTAAGGAAATCAATACGCAGGTTCCTCAAAAAATTAAAAATAAACTATCATACGATCCAGCAACTCCATTTGGTATCTATCTAAAGAAAATGAAAACATTGATCCAAAGAGATGCACCCCTGTTTACTGCAGCATTATTTACAATTGCCAAGATATGAAATCAACTTAAGCGTCCATCAATACATGGATGGATAAAGAAAATGTGATATATATACATGATGGAATATTTTAAAAGCAATAAAAAAAGAACGAAATCTTGACATTTGTGACAACATGGATGGACTTAGATGATGGATATGCTAAGTGAATAAGACAGCGAAAGACAAATAACCATGTATTACTTCACGTATATGTGGAATCTAAAGAATGACAACAAAATGAACAAAATACAATAGAAACAGGCTCACAGATACACAGATATACAGATATGTCTTAAACTGCTGATTACCAGAGATGGGAGGGGTTGGAGGGTGGGCAAAACAGGTGAATGGGATTAAAAAAGACAATACCAATAGTTTTGTTTAGACCACATTTTATTAAGCAACAACCTTAATGCCGCCCCATAAATAATAATGTAAGTTATCTGAGTGAACAAAACAAACTAACACAAACAGCTTTAATATTTAGGAACCTCACTCTGACTTAACCCAAAACTCTCTTCCTGAGCTGCAACTTGATAATCACTGTGAATCATTATCACCAAAATAGCAAATATTTGCCAGAGGGAAAACTTTAAACAGTATTTGATACCAAGAAGTCTCTTTCATCATATACCCTTTTCTACTTTTTTGAATTGTGAGCCATTTAAGTGTATTCTACTTTTTAAAAAATTATGTTTAATATTAAAAATTTGTTAAAGGAAGCTTCCCTCTCATCCCAACACTCCCATCTTCCTTGGGGGACTCACTGCTGATGCTGGTTCCTTATATATTCTTTAAGGGATATTCAAAGCATCTTAGAAGCACATATGTGTGTACATATCCCCACCAAAGAATCTGAATAGCAACACTTTCCAAATTCCTCAAGTCTTGACTTCCCAGCACCTTCTGGAGTCTCAGCACACCAAAGTCAGACCTCCAAGCTCAATCTCAGGGTCGCTAAGAGACAGGCAAGCATTCCCCACACAGTATTCCAATGCACAGTGCTGTCTGAGATCAATCAGACCTAACTCAGTGAATTCATGAAGGACTTCTTGCCAATATGGGAACTGTCCAATACTGATTATATATCCTAGATGATCATCCAGCTCATGTTGAAACATAGTAGCCTGAAATGGACCATCTCCCATTTCCTGTCTCTGTGTCCTTGAAGAAACTGTTTCTTAGTGACCAGAATAACCTTCATCCTTACTACTCTCCATGTTGGTAATACCATCTGACAATCAAGGTATTACATCCATCATCTCCTTGATAATACCACCTGAAATTCTTCATTTGAAAACTAGTTTAGTACCTATCCCCACTATATTTTAAGTTTCTCGAAGGAAGGCAAACCTATCATCTTGTTGAAGACTGTTCTTCAGCCCTTAGAATGTAACTGGAACTCAGTAAATACATGCTTAATTATATTTTTAAATTTAAAATATTAAAACAAAGCAACAACTTTGTGTACCTAAGCCCAAATGAAGCA